GCCAGCCGTCGAGGACCAGGCTTGGAAGTGAGACTTCCATGTCCTATACGAGGGTATGTTATTCACTGACTCCCTGTCCCGAAAGGGCAGAGTTATCTTTTTTCTTTCTTTCGTTTCACTTCATATACAATGATACCTACTGGGATGGGTTACTAGAGGAAGCCGCAAGGCGTTTTGAGATGAATGTGGGAGCACAAAGAGCGACACTTGGATGCACCACACTCGACATATTTTGATACGGGGACGAGGCGTTAGGGACATGCATGCATAGGACGTTTGGCAGAGGATACATGGCCATATGCAGGAACAAATGGGGCGGCAACACGATGCCGTTTTAAATGTCAGTTCATTGGATGGAAACGGCCGAGTACCGCGAGACTCGGGATCACTCGCTATTGTTTATTGCTTTACTATGATACCAAGCGGGCAATGGTATGGGGGGAAACGGCGCAATGAAGGATCTGGGGTACATGCGCCGTGAAGGATGATGATATGAAAAGAGAGGCTCTGGGAAGCTGGTTATGGGCTAGCTCCCAGAAAGGAAGCGGGATACAGATAGGACATTATGACCTTGCTGAGACAAGGCAGACAATGAACAAAGCACTTTATTGTCGCAATTGGCTTTCTTAACTGTGACACTACCACGCACTTTGTTTATTCCCTCACTGCAACGACCACGGAAGGTGAGATGACAGTATCTATCTAACTGATCATGTAAATCACACCACATAGACTAATCCGGGGATTTTTTACGAGTGCTGACTGCAAGCCTCTGAAAAGGGATCACAACTCCGAGAGGCACAACTGGGATGGGCATTAACGCCTCGGCCTGATTACTTTACCTGCCAGCATATTATTCCGCATACATACGATGGGTTCTTTTTACTTGTGTGCTTATTTATTCCCTGGGGAGGTCAGCATCATCACACCATATAAGCCGGGGAGAGGCAGGTTTTCCGTGGGGGTGGTATTGATGAGATGCAGATATGTGCTGCTACGGTAGGCAGGCATCTAGATACCTACAGTGGGGTTTTCAATGGCCTGAGAACCTTAGGTAATGTTTATACTGTGGCACACGCACTGGGGAAATGAGGCCTTATGCCCGTTGCGGATGTATGGAAAGGAAGCCGCATGCAATGCAATGCCGTGCCATGCCATGCTATGCTATGCAAATGCAGTACGAGGACAATTCATAGTTAGAATGTATGTTTGGGAGGGAACCATTTCCTTATCTACTTCGTCCATCATCTAACTATTTTAAGGCCTCACTCTATATGAGGATGTCCAATGCATGCAGCATCATGAGCCGTTACTCCGTACGAGTCGCAGTGCATCTACAGTGAGGGATACAGAGAGGCACCAGCACATCAGCGCATCGCATCGCATCGCATCGCATAGCAGTGCATTTGATTTATAAGACGGAAGTTTAGAGGCAAACACGTATTCTCAACAGCGACAGAAAAGGAAAAACAACCTTATCCTCCCTAGGCAGTCTTCAGGGCTTCTGGACAGTGCGTGGAGTTACTGGATCTAATGACTTGCACGCCCCCTGTAGTGTAGGTAGCCCAGGGCATAAGGTTCTTTTCTTTACTGACCGCAGCGGAGAAGACGTGGACTTTTTGCCTCTCCCCGAGGCCTAAGCGAATCTGGATTTTGTGAGATGCATTTCCGTGTGCGAGAGTAGTCAAGGGGTGACTTTGGCGAATACAAGGGGGTCAGTCAGAGAGGGGATGATCGGGTAAATGGCATGCAGTACGGATATAGACGAAGAATATTCCAGTAATTATAGGACACAGAGAAAGCTTTGGTGATTTAGGTTGTATCACGATAATGGGTGTAGTGTAGGGGTTCAGTTAGTCATGTTACAGCAGGGACAAAGAACCAGAGGACGCACTGGAGACCAAGATATCCGTGCTTTGTTCCCGTGACAGGGTCATGTACATAGGAATTGGTTCGTCTGCTGGGATCTACCTATCCACGATTCTATCATCACTGAACAAGCCAGGGAGTGAGTAGGTACCTAGGTATTTTACCAACTTCACTGACAAGAACGAAAGAGAGGCAGCCCACAACGACAAGAAACAGCATGTTGAAGACTAAATAACACAACACTTCTTCACTCACTCTGTGCCCAGAAACTGGCCGTCAAACGGTGACCTCTCTCATGGAGTCGGGTTCCTCGTCTCATTGGATCTCATTACAGCCTGAGTCCAAGTTAGAAGACTACGCGCCCAACGTTAGCGCTTGGCCGTCAGTCTTGAGCGCCTGAGACAGTGCTAAACTTTTACTGGGCGTCTGGTCAACAGGGACCAATCCGCGACATGCATCGCCGCGCGCTTAATGTCTTCTGAGACTCTCAGCCAACCACAGGCAGCATTTTCATTCTCGTCTGTCTCAACCATGGCGACGTTATCGCCAAACAAAACCAGTTTCTATATTCTCCCATGGATATCTACCTATGTAGCAGTTCTAGACCGACTACCTACGTATGTAGTGTCTACTGGCGTGTCAAGCGATAGGCCCTAGACCCTCTCAACGACTGGCTCTCATCATCTCTGGTCAACCGCCCAATGGCCTCTGATGCGACAGTCGAGCCTGAAATATCGTCCACGAATGGGTCGAGATGACTCTCAACGGACAAGGCGGCAAGGCAGAGGAAAGACCATGTCCATGATGGAAAGAAGACAGTGACCTCATGGCTCCATACTCCGTCTTTGTCTAGTACCCTTGTCCTCCCTCTCTTGTTCTGCGTGCGTCCTGTATTTACTGTTTCCGTTTCTTCACCTTCGCTGTTCTGTCGAACAAAAAAAAAAACCAATCATATATTCACTTGTTCAGTTGACTCATTCCTTTCCTCTTTGTCATACGCGCTGGTTGTGTCTGACTTGCCAACTCTTCTATCTGCACATCATCTTCCCTTGACTCCTTGCATATACAATATCGCATTCACCCCAAGACATTCCTTCAACAACGAACCAACGCTTAACGTTAGTAACTAACACTAAAGACAACAACCAACAACTACACGCATAATACCTACACGCCAAATATGCTTTTGGGAAGACTCCCAATACCCCTGAGGGTTCTGCTTATCACAGCCCTCTACGCTTCAACATCCTCCGCCCTCCCAGCCAACACTATCTTTGCCCGCCAAGACACATGCGATGCGGATCAGACATCATGCAATAGCGACATCGCCAACTTTTGCTGCCCCAAGGGCAACTCTTGCAGACTTCTCGCTGGCAAGACCACAGCAGTTTGCTGTCCCAGCGGCCAGACCTGCAATGTCATTCAGCCCATCACTTGCGATATCCGCGGCCAGGACCAGAGAGAGTTTCCCAACGCCCCTGTCAAGACGATAGTATTCAACCTCGACCTCGAAAAATGTGGACAGAAGTGCTGTCCTTTTGGATACTCGTGTGAAGACGAGCAGTGTGTGATCGACAAGGATCAGACCAATGTCCCAGAAGGCGCTGAGCTTCCCAACGAGACGTCTACGCCTGTTCCCAGTACGATAACTACTGCTACGGGGGCTATCGAGACCATCTCCATCAGCGCCGCACCCTCCACGAGCGCTGAGCCCACAGCAGCTGTCGGCTCAGATAATAGCTCAGACAAGGACGGAGACTCCAAGTCGGACAACTCGGGGCCTGCTACTACCTCCATCGTTGGCGGTGTCGTTGGTGGCAGTATCATTCTTCTGATAATCGCCGTTGTAATCTTCCTCTACGTCCGTCGTCAGAACAAACGTGATGCGCAGGGCTCAGAGAAGGGTAGTCATATCTACGGTTATGGGCGTCGATCTACGAGCGATGCCTCGTTCGGTAACATCATTTCCGAGCCCATCAGCCAGCCCAACTCTTACCGAGCCGACTTCATTCTCAAGACCCCTTCAACCCAGCGCTCGAGCATTGTGCCTGCGCGCCAGCTTTCCAGTGCTGGCACACGCCTCAATGCTCCGCCTCCGCGGATTCGCATCTCTATTCCGAATCCCTTCGACTCACCCAATCCCTCACCCAATGCTCAGCCCAGCCCCCTCGACAATGAAGAGTCTCTTCGACATGGAAACGTTCGGCTGCCCCCGATTCGCGCTATGAAGGGCTCATCGTACTGTAGTCGTCGACCAAGTACCCCTGAGCTTCAGCGTGAGCCGAGTAGCGAGAATATCAATGTTTTCGCGGACCCCAGCACCATTGTGAAACCCCGCCCCTTGACGAGAGCGACAACATTCACCGATCTGATGGACGAGGCTGATCTTGGCGCCGTGCGGCGAGGGAAGCCCTACGTTCCCGGAACCACTCCCAGAATCTAGAACTCACTGACTCACGCCATTTCCTTTCCGAGCTACACCATTCGCGTCTCTCTCTAATGTAACGTCTCTTCACCACCATCTGCAGTGCAGGGTGGCATCCTCTCACTAGAATTGATTTTGGGCGTTGTGGATATCAATACTGGAATAGCTGTCGTTTATACCCTGGGCTAGTTCAATGAGACCCAAATCTTATTATGTTTTAATATTGCAATGTTTTATGTTTGATAGGAGTTATAGATAGATTATTTAAGAAATGATATGCGAATATTTGATCAATTCGCCTCATGACAAGTGAAGCAAAAGGAATGGATCATAGAAACCAGTCAGAGCAAGTTGGATCAGTGCAGTATCAAAGCTTGTATATGTTTGATATATAACGACAGCTAAACAACTCGTAACGATCAAGAAGCGCTCACTTTCCGTTAGCCGTTTTCTCGGACTCCGGCGCTCCTATGACAATAAAAAACCACGCTATGCCAACCTGTTGATAGATGAAAGGGAACCTAGCGAGCGAACAAGATGCGGCCCGCAAGGCTCATGCCAAAGGAAACGAATCGCAAAAAACAAAAAGCGCAGTGATTGGGTATGTGCGCCTAATCCATCATGTCCATAAACTTCCTATGTGGCGCTAGCCTAGATCTTACCTCCAATATTTACTCAAGATAGTCAATTTGTGCATGTTGATGTCTCACATGACGATACACTTCTTGTCCTTCTCTTTCTCCTTTTCCTTCTCTCCAGAGCCAGTCGATATGTCTGTCCAACCTGCACTGCTTGCAGCATCTGCAGCCTTCTTCTTCTTTTTAGGTTTGGCTGACCAACCACGTTTTTTGGCATCTTTGATGTTCTTAGCAGCGCTTCGCTCAGCACGACTTGGCCGGCGATTAACTGTTGGTGATGTCCTAGTTACTGGCACTGGAGGAGCATGCAGCCATGCCGGCACCTGCTGGTTGGGCAGTGGAACGGTGGCAGCCGGGTTGCCTCCGTGACTCGAGGCAATACTGTAGATAGTTTCAAGTCGCTCAACAGTCGGCCTCTGGTTCGAGCCAGGTACCGGCCGTGGGTGCCGTGGGATCGGGGCCAATAGAGGAGTCTCATTTCTTCGCCCAGATACTTGCCGGCTTGGCGAGTCGAAAGCACCCGATACACCCTTAGGAGTGCTAATTATAAGAGGTTGATCGGGTTCTGGGCGACTGAAATTGGATGGCCCTGCCAATAATGAATCGGGCAGGGAGCTTGATACGTACGAACTACCATCAAAACTCCCGACAGGCCTTCTTGGGACCTGGAACCCTCCAGAAAGCCTTCTTGGGTTACCCTGGCTGACTCTTTTGCTAAGACTCGCAAGCTGACTCGAACTCGGCAGAGGGGGTAGGCCTGAAATCGATTCATCTGCGGCCTGCTGTTCGGCTGGTGCAGACATTGGGAATGGATACCCATCAGCCGAGGCAACATTTTGTTCAGCCTCATGGTCTGCAACTCGAGGCCAAGTTTGAACATTTGAGAGCCGCCTGGCTCTAGGCGCTACCTGGGCCGTAGAAACGGTCGATGGAACACTCTCCATATTTACCGCTGGCATTCGAGTACCTGGACCAAAATGGTCGTAAGCGGAGATATCTGCCTGCACTGGTGAAGGTGACCGCCTCTCCCTGGAGTTGATAGGAACTGTCACAGCCCTAGATGTAAGAGCTGACACAGCAGATGATATTGATGTTTGTCGTGCCCTAGTTTCAGAAGTTTCGCCTGCATGCTGAGGCGCGTCCTGTTGTGGAGAACGGGGGGGAGTCACGTCGTATAGATCAACATCCTCATCCGTCTGGGGTACATGGTTCACACTGTTTTGGGTTGCAACACCAGCCTGCAGTTGATCTCTAGTGGTGCACTCTTGTAGGGGATGGTGACCAGAGGCTTGCTGTGAAACATTGTTTCCGGGCTGCTCGCCTTTGGAGTCGGTGCTGGATCCTCGGTGATCCTCAGTCCCGGGACGACCAGAGGCGGATATAGCATGATCTGGCAGTGCTGGCACTGGAGCTGGAGCGGGAACAGATGCACCGCCAAGCCCTATGGGAGCAACAGAAGGACCTCGCATAAAGGCCGGCAAATCGGGGCCTGGGTCCTCCTTTTGATATGGTGGAGGAGGAGGTACCCAATTGTCAGCATCACTCTCATGTGGATGCTCTCTTCGGCCATCAGCACGGCGATACTCAATACGTCGCCCATCTGCCGTTCGAGGATGAAGGGATCTGTCGACGGCGGCAGCGGTCGCAGCACGACGAAGCGTGGTCTGGGATCGTGGGCTAGCATGCGAATAAGGGGCATCTAAAGCCTCCATTTCCTCAATCGAAGGGGCGTCTCCATCTTCACTGGGGCTCACTGGCTCGACGACTGCCCGACGATTTGCTGGCGGAGATGGAAGCTGACCAATCCTTCGAGGAAGCAGAGGATCATCGTCATCATTGTTGTGGCCATCGTTTAGCGGCATTCGTGGAACCGCCGGTATCGCTGCAGCATCAGGAGCTACACGAGGTCGAGAAGCAGATGTAGAAGCCCGAAGCAATGACGAGCCGCCACGGCCGCCTCGCCTTTGAGCGACAGTACGCCGTCGCACAATGGCGACCTCGGTTGCCAGATCGCGTTGCTCTTCCTCCAGCACCTCGGGATTATCAGTGCCGACCTCAATGATGATCTCTGACTTGGTTCCGTTGGTGATGCCGTAGTCAAAGTCCAAGAGTGTAACTCGACCGCCATCGACAAAATCCATGTCTTCCTCCTCAGTCACTAACCGCGGTGCTCCAACCCCCCTAGCAGCAATTACCAGGCGCTCCTGAGTAGATGAGCCACCATGCCCCGCAACCCATTTCACTGTTTTGACTTCCCCATGCTCGGCAACCTTGAAGCCGGAAACAAAGGTGTTTCTTAGTTGGTCGCACAAAATCTGCCATTTAGGCACTCTAACACCTTCCGGGTTATTGATCCGCGTAGATGCCCGTCGCGATGTACCACTCCGATCACTATTTTGTCTCCCTAAACCAGATGCTGAGCCATCGCTTGACGATGACACATTGTCAGGGACAGCGTCCAAGTCCTCAGGTATGCCATATATCCATACCTCCTTCCCTTGAAATCCAGCCGACACTAGTTCACCCCGATATGTCGTAGAAGGGAGTGTGGAGGGAATGAGACTGGCTTGTGGAGATGCGCTTGGTACCGGTCCAGTAAAGTAAGTGGTGCCATTCCGAAGGTCATCAATTCGAACAGCTCGGAAGGTCTCAAAACTCCTGTCATAGGTAAAAGTCCAGCTTGCTTCCTCTTCGCTTCCATCCTGAAGCAGAACGGCATGACTGCAGTCACGACTAGTGTTTGGGAACAGGATCGACGTCGTCCATAGGGGGCTCAGGTTGTCTTCGGAAATATGAGGGCCTGGATCATAGTATGGAGCTGTAATTATCACGGTGCTAGGTGGTGCCGAATGAATAGTAGTTCCGAGAATTTGAGTCCCATCAAATGAGAAAGACAGAGCGTCAACAGCATCACATTTCACAGCTCTTCGATCAGTGGCCAGCGCATCAGGCCTTAGAGACGATACCTCGATGCCACCTTCATAAGCAGCAGCCAGAACAGAACCGCATGGCGATAAAGCAATCGTTCGGGGAGTGTTGTCAAGAATTATAGACCGTGAACGGCGGGGTGGGCTTTGTTGCAAGTCGTACAAGTCGACCTGCATCTCAGTAGATAAGACTGCCAAGAGGGTGCCTTTGTCGTTGATGCAAGCGGCGACAGGCCGACGAAGAATCTTGAACTCCCTCTTGACCTCCAGGTTCAACCCTTTTGAGTCAATCACGTAAATCCTGCCCGAATTGTATGCCAGAAGATGGTGCCCCTGTGGGGAGGCACTGTATTGCATACCCTCGCCACCGGGACATGATGAAGAGCTGATTGAGGTCGAAATAAGTTTAAACGTCGTTTCCCTCGGCCGTAGGTATGCCTGGAAGAGGTTTCGTTTTACTTCGCGAGCAAAAAGCCGTCGCAACTCGGGGAGTTTGGCGTCGTCCGATTGTGGTGTTGTGGGATGGCTCGCCGAATATGAAGGACATCTCGATAGCTGATGGCGATAAAGATGAGCACGTTGAGAAACACCCCTCCATTTGCGGTTCAGGAGCACAAGAGACGCAAAGCCGTTGGGGTCAGTTTGTTGAAGAATCCTAAGAGGGAATAACAAACGTTAGCACAAGATAAAAGGAGAGGACGGCGCTTATCGATGACACCAGTCGTTCGATAGGGCCAAGGACAAGTTTGATATAAAGTTGAGGAAAACTCCTGCCATTACTCACTGTTCAATGATCTCGTCGGGGAGTCTGTCAAAAGGCGGAGTTGGAGAAATGGGCATCTTCTCGATACTGGAGCGACGGACGTCGGTTACCGACGCGTCCATGACGCTTTGCCACTCTATGGTGGGAAACCGTCGAGCATATCAGGTCGATGAGTCGCGAATGTATCTAGGATAAGGCGAGAATGGCGGAGATCGTGTCTTGGGGATTTTGTCTTTGTTGTAGAGTCGATTGTTTGTCGAGGAGTGTGAGTCCAGATCTGGAAGCAGGTATCGGAGTGTGGCTGAGGCTTCCTGTTCAGCTCAAGGCGTGACGAGTGAAGAAGAAAAGTTTGGGGGCGATTCGATGTAAGCACTAGGTAGGTAGTTGGTAGGCCCTTGATTTAGAGAACAAAGCAGGATGCGACACACAAGATTCAACTGAATTGAATTGAATTGAACTGCATTGAAAGAAAAGGATTGCTTGGGTGTATCTAGAGGGCTATGGATGATCGGCATACTCCCTATTGCCAGACCTTAATCAGTACTCCAGTTGCATTTCCCATGTTTCCCCCCAAAACTTGGATGTCCATGTCCCCGGTCCCTCCCTACCTAGGTAGCTGTAGACACCATGGTCTCTAAATCTAGGTAGCTACTAACTATAGGCACTGTACTAATATAAGCACGCCGTCCAGGCCCTAGTGCATGAACCGTGTTAACGAGTCTTTTTTTAAGACGAGCTGAAACTAAAGATCATTGAAAAATAATTAAGAATTGTTGATATTACGTATAACTTTTGTAGAATAACCTTCGACTCTTGATTCTTGTCGATTTGATACCGGCCCTTGACTCCGGTTGGCATTAGTGACTTGAGATCAAATGGGAGGAAACTGAGGGATAGAGATGCCTCTCCATCGAAACAAACTCCTCTGATATGATTATGCTATGACACTATACCCCAATGATAGGTTATTTGTTAACCATAACCTTATTACGTGGTGTCAGGTTTGTAATTACTACCTACCTACCTCCCCATGTATGTATCTGTGATTTTGCTGTACCTAAACATGACAGGCTGCATGGTTTTCTCTGTTGGTAACGAAAGTGCATAGTTAAAAAGTTTCTCATTTTCCCATTTGCACTCCCTACTAAGTTAGGTGGCCTGCGTCTATCCTTGCCTATGACTGGTCTATGGCATCATGAGTAGAATTTGCCGAGAGACAACCTTGTCGTATACGCGTTTTGGCCTCGGAGGACGGACGGATGCGAAGGTCGCCTTTTGAGAGGGCAATGGTGTCCATGAGAGCATTTCGCCAACCACGGGATTAGCCAACACCAGGCAAGATGGAGGCGTAGTGTAGTGTTGCAGCTAAACATGCAGGGTGCTTGGTGAAACCCCAAAGATAGGGGAGATGAAGCATTCAATCATGCGAAGTATGGTACTGGATAATTCAAGACAGATGAGTTGGAGTCGACGCGTTCGTTAGGGACAGAAACCTGATGGGCGTTTTGTCTATTGTTTGTAACGCTTTTATAGTTGACTTTCAAGGCGATTTCCTAGTGTTACAAGGCCGTGTAGAGGTTGACTAGGTACCTATAAGGACAACTGCTGGACTAGATGCTGTAAATGGTGGAGCAATGTAAGCGACGTCCATGGTGAATGTGACTCTTTCAGCGTCTGCAGTTTGGTAGTCGAGGTGACATTTCGCGACAGCCACATGTCTTTGTCTCACGATCAAAGGCCGAATCACAAGCTACAGCAGCAATGAACGCGCATTCGCCCTCTGTTGGAATTTCTGGGACGGTCAAACCAGAGGTGACATGTGTTCTTATGTATAGGTACTCGCACAGACGAGGTAGGTACGTGGAGCTATGAATGTACCGGTAATTCCAATAGCATCACATCCGTTATCGTTCTTCATAGAGAACCATCACGGATATACGGGAAAGTCATTATTGGTACCTTGGCGTTAGTTTAACCCACAACATGAGTTATAGGATACCAGAAAGAGGAGAGGCGCAACCAATGCCCTCATTCGGTCTGTTGCACTCATTCAGTATGGATGTATGCAACTCTACCACATGAATTTCTCTGCTTCTCCTGCCTAGCCTGCGCCGGCCGGTTGTGAAGGGCTTGGTCAGAAACCTGTTGGTGTAACCCGAGTTTTCATGTCGCCGGCCGTAACAAGTAGTAGTCGCTACCTACCTAGGTAGGCGAAATCATCTATAATTAGAAATTGGCAACGTCTCGACCGGGAGTTCGTCCTGCCAGGCCCCAGGGTACAGTCTAGACTGTTTGGTACATCACTTCCGATGCCAAGGACAGCATCTTTTTGCTGATATGCATCAGAAATGCTCCTCAGTGCCTTGTCATTATGGGCAAGACATCAATGATCCTATAGCCAATAGCTGAACATCGAAACGGTATGTGATGCGCCACTCCATACCTTTTTTCCACGACATCAATGGTTTCAAAGGATTGCGGGTAAGCAGAACGAGCCAATCCTTTGGCTTGGCACGCACTATCAAGTGATATGATCGGTTTCCTCCACTGGTGGCTGAACTTGGGTAGCAACAGCTTACATACAATTGGTATCTGACGTGTTATATATCAAAAGTCACTTGCTTTTGTTACATTAGGTACTACAATTTTGTTATCTATCGGCCCCTTTTGACATAGGGACGGTACGAGAATGAGGTCGTTGCATTATCTCAGGCGGGTTTCGGCCTTATTCAATCCATGAATGCACTCTAATAATAGAGCATGTTACTAACTAATGTACCTCCGGACATAATCCGGGCCATGACCGGTTACCACTGGCTGTCCAAAGTGTCAAGCATTTCGGTTGCGCCTCATCAACGTAGTGAATACGACGGATTTAATCTGCATAGCGGCGCTTCTTACAGGCACGGCCCGCCCCTTTTAGGTAAATCCCCAACCCTAAATCATGATAATTTATCAGTGCATACATAAGCCGGTAATTGGCCATATACGTAAAGTCCGGGCACTGAAGGTCCAAGCGATTGAAAGGAGTGATATTGAAAAGGATTTCAAACCTTTTTTTTTTTTTTTTTTTTGGTGCGCTCGGAACGCACAGACAAAGAGATGAGACCCCTGAAAATTGGACTAGTCGATAGCCGATGGATGACAGACACGGCAACAGAGTCTGTCAATCAATCAATGTCATCGATTTCAGCCCTGGGCCTGTCTGCGTGGCCTGGCAACTTCCGCCGCGCTTGGCACAATGTGGGAATGATATGGAAGCATGGGAAGCCTGTTAGCTCGTAGATCGGTTGCGGGGTCTGCAGAGACAATGTGGAACTCGTAGCTTGCCTTTAGAACCGACAGAAACGGTAAGATCATCCAAGGCTCTTTGGTGTTTGTTTACGTACTATCAACCTCCCTCAAGGGATGGAGTTCCTCCAGGACAAGGTCCCTTTGGGCCGTAATCTCTTTGGACCTCGGTATATCTAAAGCGAGCAAGCCGTGTTGATTGGTCTATACGTGCATGTGAAGAGAGGGAATGCACATGTATATATCCCCGAGTGTCAGTTTGCTTTGCCATAATAACCTGATATGATATTGCTGCTCCCTTGGCTTGTCTGTGAGCCACTTAGACATTTCCTTTATCGTGTATACTTACTATAATCTACGTCATCGAGATCCGTATTCCACAGATTTTAGTCGATCTTGATTCATTTTGCAACCTTCCAAGTTGTTGAGCGTATCACACCCTACCTAGGTCGATATTTCTAGCCCCAGCCACTCTACTATTACTACTACTACTACTCCATGGCGAGACACACCCCAACCAATCGTCATTTTCAGTCTGTCTTACCTCCATTTCTGGTAACTTTTAGTCCATGATCATGGATAACCCCGTTACCTGGTCCAGTGCTTAGCCAAGGCGGAGACACGGAAATGTGGAAGCTCGCGCGTCAGGTACCAGCACCCAAAAGAAGGCGCTAGTAAACACCGAGAGCCCTACCAATCCAAGGCTTTTTAGAGTACTGTAGATCTGAGGCTGGCATCACATCCGTCCAGAGAAAGAGTGGGCCAATACCTCATTTCCTGGCGATCACATTAGAGCGGAAAGCTAACACAAACACAAACACGCTTGACGAAAAAGTGGACAATATTGACATGCTTATCTACTCAGCAAAGTTACAAGCTCAATGGTCTTGGGTAAGCTTGCGAGTCTGTCTGATTTATCGGGAGTCCAAGCTGCCTAGCTCAAAGACTCATCTCAACTGAAAGGAACTGAACGGCGACGTTCTACCAAACTTGAATGGTTGGAGAGCTAAAGACGAATGAGGCAAGGCTAGATACACAAAACGTTGTCTTCTAGAACCTGACCAAGATGATCTTCAGGCATCGTAGATCTAGGCCGCAACGATATTCCAGAAAGGTTGCAAGAGCCTGACGAGGGGGAAACTTGCTCACGCCTCATTGACTAGCCTCTCATCTCACTTGTTTGCAGACTAAACCCAAGCCTGCAGCCTTTTAAAACATGCATTTCAGACTCAACTAAGACAACTCTGCGTCACTAGTTTTATCTCCTCTACTTAAATAGCGGAAATAATGCAGGCCATCGCGTGCTGGTGGAAGAAAAGATCCGTCCGTCAACGGTTGGGCTGGGGCTCTTCTCCCTCTCTCGGCAAGCCTGGCGTGGATATAGCAAAGGCCAGCAATTGTCTCGCAGAACAAGCATTGCGGCCATTGAGGGTTCCCAGGCCGCCAAGAAGCATGAAAGTACATACTTGGGTGAGAAAAAATCACGATACGAGTTCTCTCTTTTCCCCACGCCCATATAGCTAGGTTGTCATCGGATAGGGGATCACCACGGCATCCATCCTGAATCCCCGGCGGACGATCTGATCTGCCGTGAAGCCTGAGGCACCCCGGTTTATTTCCCAAGGTAGCTGCCTAACGTGTCGTGTACGGATGCAGTAATTGTTAAGGTAGTCCAGCTCGACTGTGCCTTTTTCTGTAGGTCCCGGCTGTCTTCTAACTCTCCTTGGCGGCACACAACTTATGCAATGAAAGTACCCAAGCATGACAACTCCTTTGTATAGGCTGATGCCTCTAAGCCCTCGAGTGCAGGCTCTACAACAAGACGCGACGA